CACTGAGGTGTTCAAGAAAATTGGGGAGGTTTTGTAATGCACCTTGTAGTCTCCTATCCGGATAGCCATTAGGTGCGTGTTACAGTAGTAAATAATGGGGCGAGCTTTGCCGAGGCTACCTTCCACGTCATCAGTCTCACCGCGAAGCTCGTCGGCGATATTGATACCGTCGGAGCGGAGGGGTTCTTTCTGGAAATGCGGTAATTACTTGGGTACGGTAGTTTTGACAAGAAAAACTACTAGTTTTTCCCCAGACGGTCTAGGCCACGCACCCAATTTTTGACGAAGGCTCACCTCAAACAAACACTCATCATTCATAGCTCTGAACGTCGGGAACAAGTCCATACTGGATATAACTTCATGGGACACCCTGGCCGGTTTCACCGTTCCTGGCTGCCATGCGATGAACGGAATCCGGAATCCTCCCTCATAGCTATTCGATTTTCCACCTTTCAAGCCAGCTGTGGATCCACCATTCAAGCAAAGTTCCACGTGTGGTCCATGATCCGACATCAGAATGACCAGGGTGTTTTCAGCGATTCCAGCGTTCACAAGACTGTCAAGCACTTCACCAACAGCCCACGACATCTCGTTGATCGAGTCTCCGTAGATTCCTGAGAAAAAATAATTTCAAAGTCCTACTAATTCAAAGAGCGTTTTGTTGATCATATCATATTCCTTATCACATTAAATTATAGTGAAAGTGAAAACGACTACAAATCGGAGAGACAACTACGAAAACGCAGACATAATGATCTTATAAGATAAGATATTGAACGCCAAATGCAAATGCGCTCTACCGGACCGCCCCCCCCGTCCCCCTTACCTCTCACAGACGATCCCCTAAACCGTTTGCTGGCGAACTGTGTCGAGTGGACTTGTGGGAAGGAGAAGTAGAAGAAGAATGGCCGTTCGTGTTGGTCCTGTGCCAGCCGGGTCATCAGGAATCGTTTCCAATCCCCCACTAGATTCTCAGTCATATGCTCAAACTTCATTGGTTGCTGCACAATATCATCTCCGTCGTACAGGAAACAAAGTGATGGGTCCGGCCCTTTGTCGTAGAACTCTTTAGTGGTATCGCATTGCCAAACATTGGTGAAAGGAAGGTTCACTCCCACATAATCAAATCCACGTTTCGATGGCAAGTGCGCTCCATCGGTGGCGTTGTTCTCGTTGATTCCCAAATGCCATTTTCCAACCATTCCAGTCGCATAGCCAGCTTCTTTCAGCATCTCCGCCATGGTCGTTTCTGTCTTCGGAAGTCCGCCAATATCATACGGCACGAAGACTCGCCGCCCACCAACTATACCTAACCGGATGGGTAGTCGTCCAGTAATGAATCCGGCACGACTCGGCGAGCACATACTATCCGCCGAATAGGCCTGTGTGAAGCGGGTGCCCTCTGCAGCCATCCGATCGACCTGGGTGTACTCTTGTGTCGGGTGACCGTATGCCGCAATGTCACCGTAACCCAGATCGTCGATCATGAGCACCACAATGTTGGGATGGCGGGGAGAGGGTGGTTGTACGGTGCATTCTTCTTGACGGAGCTCTTGTTGAGCAGACAATGGGAATATTAGAAGAAGGAGATGGAGTAGGCTCACCGGGGACATGATCTGAAATGAAAATTTTGAAATTTTTGAGGATGATTCGAGAGAGATTTGTAGGCGGAGCCAGAAACATTGGAGTTTGTTCAAAAAAGCAGAAGCCATAGGGCCCTAGAGAAGCCAGATTGTTTTTGCAAAATTCTTCTAATTTCAAAAGTTGTCACCCACACACTCTTGTGGGAATCACTTTTTGACGTAAATTATGATGCTGAGGATCTTTGGAATCGAAAATTTCAGACAGTGACTCAAAATGTGGGATTCTGACGAAAACGTAAGAATAAGAAGTTTGAAGTTTAGGAAAAAAGGAAAAAAAAAGTTCTGGCGTGGGGTGGAATCGAACCCGACTTGAAAAATTGGAAAACAAGGGTTTTAGCCACTACGCCACACATGCCAAATTGGACGAAGGGAGAGAGGGCAAAGATATTGCTGCGCCCTTTTTCAAGGCGCGATTTGATGGGTACAAGGCTCCAAAAAGGTCCTATAAGACAGATGGGGACCCAAAGTTCATGTAGAGTTCCAAAAGAAATTAGAAAAAAAAGTTCTGGCGTGGGGTGGAATCGAACCCGGGCTGAAAAATTGGGAAACAAGGGGTTTAGCCACTGCGCCATGAGACCAAAATTCAGATAATGGGGAGAGGGCAATGAGAACCTGCAAGTTTCATGGGGCTGCGGATTCCTAGGAGTCCTATCATGGTCCAATATTCTTTCAGTCTAAGCCGAATGGCAGCGTCAAAAAAGGAAGCAGTGGTCACTAAACTAGATAAATATTTTTCTGAAAATACGTAATATCCACCTCCAAAAAGTGATTCCATCCCAAAAAAGTTTTGCTTCCGAGTAGAAAGAAGCCTCCATTTTCCAAAAAACTGGCTTCTATTTAAATATTTTTTTCTCAAATTCTAAAATCATGATTTTCTTTGAAATCACAAATTAGAGACCAATACTACGCACAGAAAATCATATCAGAAGAAGAAGGCGAACTCTTAAAAACAAACAGTTTTACTCCCAACGGTACACTAGACGACGTCGCTCTGATTAATCCTCGATCGCTTACTAATCCGTGAAAATGCGAAGAAAAAATTTTAGAACAAGGCACATTTCGGTTTTTGAGGAGGGGTATCAGAAGAGCGGGTGGGGAATTAGAAATTATTTATTTTGGAAAAAAAAGGTTTAAAGGGTCATATGGAAGAACTGGTGACGTGGAAAAAAGAAAAAGAAAAAAGTAAATAAATAACCCAGAACAAATCGAGTTCTCTAGGAGAACTCTCTCATAAGTTCATGACCATTGATCGTCAAAACATTAGGAAAAAGGGAGGGGAGGGGAGGAGAAATAGATTTCAATTTTCCCCCATTTTCGAGAGATTTTTAATCCAATTTTTTGTTTTATTGGGGTTGCTTTTTCAAGGGGGCGAGTAAAAGAAAACATTGGTGTCCTAGTAATTGAGGTCATGCACATTTTTTGGTAGGTGATCATTGTCTAATCTAGGACCTCTGCTAAAAATAGAGGGAAGAGGAAATTGCTCTATTGGGTTTGAACCAGAGCACTATCGGCCCAGTGGCCAAGGGCGTTACCACCTGAGCCACGGGTCCAGGAAGCGAGCCGCATGGCGAGCGCGGTAGCGCTTTAGATATTTACTTTTTCGATGTTTTTTTTTTTGAGGATCTGACTTCTGAAAAATCGAAAATTGAAATTTTTCAGTTTTAGGCCTATCCTCAGCCATAGCCGTAAGGTTTTGGTCCTAAGAAGCATCTTCAAAAATTCTGAAAAATCCAAGAATTCTGGAAAATCCGAAAATTCTGAAAAATTCAAAAATTCTGAAAAATCCAAAAATTCTGGAAAATCCAAAAATTGGAAACTGACGACAGTAAAATTCTCTATCGATTAGTATACATATCATATAGGATTCTATCAGAAAATTTTCTTGAAAAACCCAAAAAACGCAATTGCTCAGAATAAAATTTTTCTCATTTTTTGGCGTTTCTCCTTGGCACGCCCTTATATGATATTTATACCAATCGATAGAGAATTCGATTTTCTAAATTTTTAGATTTCCCGATTTTGGGACCAAAACTATGCCCTTCTATTAAAACCTAACTGAGTTTGGATCATCCAAAACCAGCTCTCCAAAAAATCTTGTTGATCAATTCCAGAAGATCCTCTTAGAAATCAAAAATCCCAACAGCTTCCGTGCCATTTCGGCCAAAATGTGATGGAAAATAAAAACAAAAATTTTTTGGAAGCCCTACAGTAATCAAACAAGTTTTCGAAAAAAAAATTTTGTAATCTGAAATCTGGAAGTTAAATTCAGGAAAACAAACTTGTTTGGATAGTCATTTGAGCCTGATGTCTGAGCCTGGACCTCTAATAGAATGGCAGGTGCCGGGGTGCCCCTCCCCCACCAGTTCAAAAGAAATATGCCATAGAACAGGTTGGAAACAGATTCGAAACGGAAGCTCCCCGTTTCTAAATGACCAGAGAGCTTAAAACTATAATTATCCGTAGTATCTCTCACAGAAAAAAGGTTACATGACGGAAGCAATCTGTCACTAGCAGGCAAAAGAAAAAGGAGAGTATGTGTGTGTTTCTTCTTCGGGAATGTAATCAAATCCGTGGGAAACTTCATACGTAGGATTCCAAGGTGTGATGGGGAAGGAGAGGGAAATCCAAAAAAAATGGAGTTAGGGAGCAAAAATGAGAAAGTTCAAAAAATTGAGGCTGAGAGATCGTGTGGATCAGGTACCGTAGGTTCAGAGCAGTGTATCTCTGTTGTCTTCAGAGTTAGAAATAAGTGGTCAACTAAAGAAATATTGAGCAATCAATTTTGAGCATTTTACTAGTTGAACATTTTTTGATAGCATTAAAGACAACTGGGATATGGCGCTCAAAACAAGCCTCAGTGCGCTGGGCTCTCAAAACGAGGAAACAGAGAGGGGCAGAGACGAACAGTGTCTGGTTTCTCTGACTCTGGCTGGAATGATGTTCCAAGTTTGATAGCATGTATCTCAGTTGTCTTTAGAGTTGTCAAATTTTTTCAACTGATAAAATGTTCAAAATTTATTGATAAACATTTTACTAATAAAAATATTTTTGATAGCATGAAAGACAACCGAGTTATGCCGCTCTCAAACTACCCTACCTGGTGATCCTTTCTTACAGGAAATACAATAACCCAAAAGATCCTTTTTTCTTGAAAAAAAAATCATAAATATTTGAAAAAGTGACCCAAAACGGTGATTTGACTTGATCATTCTCTAGGTCAGTCATCATGGTGTAATAGGTTCTTCTGTAGACAATTTGCAGAAAAAAATTACACATAAGGCATATACACCAATGAACATTACACTGTGAAATTTCTTGGCAACGTGCCAACGAAAAAAAAAAGAAAAAAAAAGGTTTTGGCGCCAGGCGGAATCGAACCCGCGCCCAAAATTTCAAAACAAGAGCTTTAGCCACTAGGCCATGGGACCAAAAAGAAAAGTAGAGGGGAGGGCATATAGGTTACCGCGCACTTTGGGGGAGGGGGAACAGCTTCAGGTCCTGGAATCTTCAGAAAAAAACCGAAAAATCCTCAGAATTCAAATATCCACAAAGATCTCTATCTCTATTTCATACACAGATGATGTCCATCTATCCACGGAAGTGTGGTAAAAGAAGCAACCACAGGAAGTGTATAGTTCATGGATAAATAACAAGATTAATGTCTAGATTTTTGAATTTTATTTAGAAAACAAAAATCCAAAAATCCATAATGAGACACTTCTCTATCATCTCTTCTCATCATCATCATCAAATATCGAACGTGAAAAATGCGATAAATTATGGAAAAATGCGTTGCGGCGAGAGGGCAAAGTGGGGGTGATGGGAGGAGGAGAACAGGAAAAATTAATTTTGAAATTTGAAGAATTTTTATTCTCCCTAATTTTTAACAATTTTAGATTGAAAATTTAGGAACCCAAGATTTCAGATTTTGCAGAAAAAATTCAGCGAAAAGTCAAAAAAAAAAGGTGTTGCGTCACCGAAGAAATTGTAGAAATCGAAGGAGAAGATGGTGTTGAAGACACACAGAATTTGAATACAACTAGAGGTGGGAGGGTGTAAACGGGAAAATGATGATGATGCAGAAGCTGTTTAGAATTGAAATGAAGAAGAAGAAGAAGACAGGGCAGAGATTAGAGGTCAAAATTATTAATGATAAGATAAGAGTTCAATTGAATTTAGGATCCGATTCGAGGGGATGGGCAGAAGTCGTCTGGTCAGAATAAATTCATGTCAGAATACCGGAAAGACGACGGGAAGAAAAAGGGGACATGCCGGTGGAGAGGAATCGTGTGGAGCATGCGTGGAGGATGAGTGCTCCTCGCAAGGAGCACCAGTATACTTGAGAATATTTCAGAGCGGATACGTCATTCTTGAAAGATCAGTGGAGTTTGATTTTGCGGGTTATTTTCTGGAAGGGTTCATGGGAAGGAGTCTGGAAAGATAATACTGTAGGATTACTGTAGATTGTACTAGCGTTTTGAGGAATAGGAAGCTCAAACCCGGAAAAATGGCAAATGGTGCACCGAACGCAATTTTATGTGTTCATTGGTTGTATAGGAGAGATTCTAGGTGAATGGTACTGTAGGGTTGCTGTAGATTGTTCTAGAGTTTCTGGGATGCATCGGACGCGATTTCGCATGGCAAGGTTTAAAAAATTCAGAAAAATTGGTCTTCTGGGCCTGTAATGCTTTCTCTTGAGGTTTCATTGTCGAGAATCTAAAAAGTTCCAGAGTTTCAGTGGTCATCACGCCTCAAATAAGCCAAATGATTTGGATATTTGCACCTAAAGGTCCACTACGACACCTGTCAGTTCACCAAAGTCTCTACCGCTTGTTAGGAACCCTGTAACCGGACCTGAGCAGTCCAGGCTGGTCTGTGAGTGACTGTAAGTATTCTAGCGTGTGGAACTCGGGCTCAAAATTCGACTTTTGACGGAAATTATGACTAGGTCCGCCCCAGGGCTCATTGAGCCCGCTCGCTAAGGATAGCACGTGTAGCCATTCTATCAGAAAACTTTCTAAACTAAGCGAAAGGTGTGTAAATAGCATGATCCCCCAGATCGTCTAGATGGTGTCTCACACGAAATGTTGCAACAAATCGGATATTGCAGATAGCATCAGGTGTTGCACCTGTTTCAATTGCTACTGCTAAAAGACGGGGAACCCCAGCCTGGACTTTTTAGGTCAAAATTGAAATTCCAAAGGATTACAAATTAGAAAAATAAACAAAAATTTGCATATCAGCCTGCTGAAACCGTCTAAGGCATCTGATCATTGTTTCCTCGGGGTTTTGGAACCGTGCCAAGATCACCCCCGAGAAGGTGTAACACTGTTGTTTGGTGTCTTCGGAAACGGCGTGCGTGTGTGTACTGTGATTTGATAAAAATATATTACAAAAGGAAAGAACAGAAAACCACATTGGGGAAACTTTAAAGAGGTAGGATAGGGAAATTAGTATTTTGTAGGAATCAGGATAACCGAGTTTCAGTAAAATAGAAAACTAGCCGTGACGAATTCTAGGCGATCCAAAAAATATTTTTTTTTGTCCTCTGGCTATGAGAAAACACCCCAAAATGATCAGATTCTCAAGGAAGATTATTCAAATTCGTCGATCCTTTTGTACAGAAGTTTACCTCGGAAAAAGAACAACAGGAATATCATAATAAGGCATTAGAAATCAGAGATGAGCGGTAAACAAAGCAGGCCTTATCGATATTATGAGAAAAGGGGAAAGGGAGCCCGGTTATATTAAGATGATATCATCCTTCGTTAATTTTTGGATGATCTTTGGTAATTAGGCGAAGAAGGAGGGGGAGGAGGGGAACTAGATAATAGGTGGTGACAGATAACTTCCCTCAAAATATTATGATGACTTCAGAAGAGTTTCACGTGGAGGAGAAGGAAGGACAAACAGACAAACAGGCTGAATTAGGAGTTCGGATTGGCTTAGAAATGTAGGAGTCCTTGGACATCCTGAATGCGGGAAAGACAGACCTGAACCCAGACGGACAGACTAAATTAGATTGGATTGGAAATCTAGGATCCTTTTGAAATCTGGAAACTACCAAAACTGAGGACATTCAGACTCTCGGAGACACAGACAGATCTAGTTAGTCGGCTGAATGAACAGGAGGGCAAACAGACACACAGACCGATTTAAAAATTCAGATTTGAAGAAAAAGACATCTAGACTTTTGTACATAGAGACAGATTCAGGCCCTAACAGTACAGGAAACAAAATCAAGGATCTGTGACCAGAATAAGACAGACAGAAGGACACACAGACAGACATGTACGTTTGAACTAGAAAAGTTGAAAAATCCGGAAATCCGGACATACAGACAGGCACAGGCTCCAGAAGTAAAGAGAGAAAACCAAAATTCGCAACGTTAAGAAGGGTTTTTTTTCGGTTTTTATCAAATTTTTTTCTGAAACAAACCTATATGATATTTATACCAATCGATAGGAAATTTTTTGATCTACAATTTCGATTTTTCGGCTTCCCCAAAAATCTCGGGAAAAAACCTTTTCACGCCCAAAAAAAGCGCTCAAGACAGCTCAGATATCATCAGCCTGAAACTGGGTACAAAAGAAGTTTTCAGGTATGGTTCCACATCGAAAAAAAATTTCAGATTTTCAAGAAATCTCAAAATACACTCCAAAAATCTTCAAAACCCCCCTAGATTCCACTAAATTCTAGCCAGGTGAGAATCTTCACCTGTTCCCAGGATCTTCAGATTTCAGATCAATTTCAGATCACTAAAAAACTAACTTCTAGGAAAAACACTCCCATTGAACTCATCTCAAACACAAACCACAAAAAAACAAAGAATCCAGAATCTTCTTCTCCTCCTCAAGATGATTCAGCTTCAAAAGAAACAAAAAAAGGGACCCCGAAAAACCAAAACCATGTATATAATCGAATTTTATTAGAATGGCTCATGAGAAAATGTCAACGGGGGGCTCCTCTTCTTATTTTCAGAAGACCATCTGCGGTCTCCTCCTAAGAAGCTTGACCCAATTCTAATTATTTGGCATTCATTTCTCGTCACATGGAGGACACAATACTGGAAAAAAAGAAAAGGAAGAAAAAAAGGGGCGTGGCTGAAGGGAGCCCCATTAAATTCATGAGGAGAAAAAACGGGGTGGGAGAATCAAATATATATAGTAGAAGGGGAGGGGAGGGATGACGAAGGCAAAATTCCTTCTGGTGATGACGTGAAATTAGCAAAAAATGTTGCAAATTTGTAGGCGTGTGCTGGTGGGAAAAAAACTGACAAAAAGTACACATCTGAGACTGAAGATCGGACTAGAATAGGATTAGGAGAGACTAGTAGTTCCTTGGATCTTGGAAATTGGAATTGGATTAACTGTAATAGAAGGGCTATAAGCGTTTTTTGACAGAAAATTATAGTCAATTGGTGGAAGCCGGAACTACAGGAAAAAATAAACTTGATACTGAAACTGTTGATTTTTTTCCAGTTGTTTTTTCTGCAACCCTATGTGATACTTATACCAATCGATAGGAAATTTTTTGATCTACAAATTCATTTATTTGTACATCAAATTTCTGGACACACAGACAGATCTAGGCAGGAAACTTGATGAGTCGAAACTCTGTTTTCTAGATTTGTATAATTGATAGAATCCTATATGATATTTATACCAATCTATAGGGAATTTTTTGATCTACAAATTCGAGGAAACTGAAAGAGCCCTTTGAAAATCTGGGCACACAGAAAAACCTAGGCTCAAGGTAGTAGTAAAAAACAGGTACAACAGAATTGATTCGGAGACTGAGCAACTCAAAATAACAGAGTACAATTTCAGTGTTTCTGAGTTTCACCACTAATTTTCTGATACGAACCTACAAGATATTTATACCAATCGATAGAGAATTTTTTCGCTCTACAATTTTGATTTCTCAGATTCTCAGAATTCTCCAAAAAAGCTCCAAAAGTCCGAAAAACAGGTACGGGACTGCTCAAACACCAGCAAACAAAATCCGATTAAAAATGAGATTTTGAAAAAAATCAAGAAAAAAAATCAAGAACAAACAGATCTTTAAAGATCACCTAAAAAAACTGAAGAAAAAAACACAATTCGTCCTTTTTATATACCCAAAAAATGTTTTTTTTTTTGGGATAAAAACATGTCCCCAAAAATAGAATTTGTCAGCCATCCTGACATATGATTTTTGTGATTTTTAAAGATTCTTCGGAATTTTCCTGAGTTTTTAATTAAACTTTTTATCAATAAAAAAAACAAAACTTCCTGCAGTCATAAGTGATTTTTAGACGACCAAAAATTGAAAAATGTGCTGCTTCCGCCATATGGTTCACCTAAAGTTTATCACATGGCGAGTTCTAGAAACTTTTTTTGATTACTGTATTTTTCCAAATGATCAAAAATCAGAATAAAAAACCATG